TCACGACTGAAACGTTTAATTTTGCGAAGAGACCAATGAATGATATCAGTTCACACCCATGGTCACAGCGTAGGATAATTCCAAGAACAAAAAGGATTGCATCCAGAATGTCAACAATGAAATAGTAACAATAAAGTGCATATTATTATTAAAATATTTTGTGTAATATTTTTAGTATTAGTTTAGTATTACTACTTCTGCTGCTGCTGCTGCTGCTGCTGCTGCTGCTGCTACTGCTGCTGCTGCTGCTGCTGCTGCTGCTGCTGATGATGATGGTACTACTATTGCTATTACAGCTGCTCTGCAGCAGCTAACACTAGAGTGCGAAGAAGAAGAAGAAGAAGAAGAAGAAGAAGAAGAAGAAGAAGAAGAAGAAGAAGAAGAAGAAGAAGAAGAAGAAGAAGAAGAAGAAGAAGAAGAAGAAGAAGAAGAAGAAGAAGAGGAAGAGGAAGAAGAAGAAGGAGAAGAGAGAGAGCTTTTTGTAAAGGTGCGGGCCCATAATGTGGCTGGAACTCTATTGATCTTTCATGTTCTTATGTCTAATCTAGATACATAAATTAAATGACAAATCTAATCCAGTAAATCGAATCACACAAATGCTTTATATTACAAGTCACTTCATTGTTGACTATAATATTTTTTTATCTCGATGAACACTGATAACAGTTTACAATTCTGTCTAGTTCAAGAGAAAAAAACCATATGAAACGGTCGGGGTGAGGCGCGGCGGGGATGCATGTAGCCGGTTTTCGATGCCACGTGTCAATGCGTGTCGCGACGGTCTGGTGAAACTGATGCGGCTATGTACATGGCCGGTTTGGCGATCCCATTTTTCCACCAGCTGCAGGTGTCCGTTTTGGAAAGTCTGAAAAAACATATTTCTAGTTTTTTTTCAAACCTAATATTTATTGGGGACACGTATTAGGCTATTTACTATTCATTAAGCAAATAAAAAGATTTTTGAAATTTTTGCATGTAGCCGGTTTGTGAATCCCATCGACGATATGAACATCTTACTCACACACAGGTACATGAATGCTTCATTTTACTCTTCCTCACATATCACAACAAACTCACTTGAACATCTTTTACTCAAACACAAGTACATGAATGCTTCATTTTACTCTTCCACATGTATCACATGCACAACGAAAGGAGCAGGTCACAATAAAAGGAAAGGCCCTAGAAAACGTTGAATCCTTCTGTTATCTTGGGAGCATATTATAATTGACAGAGAGGGAGGAACAGGTGCTGAAATAAAGTCCCGCATTGGAAAAGTACAGGCGGCTTTCATATCTTTGGATAGGATTTGGAAGACCAGAGAGATCTCACTTCGAACAAAGCTGAGGATTTTCAATTCAAACGTGAAGTCGGTCCTGTTGTATGGATGTGAGGCATGGAACGCATTGCAGACTTGTATAAAGAGGATCCAGGTTTTCTTGAACAGGTGTCTAAGAAAGTTACTGAGGATCAGATGGACAGACAGGGTCACCAATGTGGAAGTGTTAAGGAAAACAAGACAGATTCCAGTCAGAGATGAGGTAGGAAGAAGGCGGTGGCGATGGATTTGACATACTCTCAGGAAGTCAGGCAGCTGCATAACAAAGAAAGTTTTGGATTGGAACCCACAGGGCAAGAGATCAAGGGGAAGACCTCATGGAACTTGTAGAAGAATCACAGAAATCGATGTACAGAAAAGTGGGAAGACATGGAATAACATCAAGAGGCTAGCCCAGGATAGAGAAAAGTGGGGGGTGTTTGTCCGTGGCCTATACCCTGGTGCAGGGTGAGAAAGGCAATGATGATGATGACATGTATCACAAAAAACTGCGGAGCGGTCATCGCCGTAAACCAATCCCACCTCCTTTTCATCCTCTTCCCCCTCCTCACTCTCTCCTTTTCTTCTCTTTTGCTTCATCATCTTTGCCTATACTTTCGTCTTCCTTTTCTTACTCCCACTTCATTTCCCTGTTGTTTTTTCTTCTTCTTCCCTGCTCTCTGCTACTCCAACTTCGTTAACTTTTCTCCTCTTTTCTCTTCTACCTTCTTCAACCTTTTTCTCTCCCTTTCTCTCTTCCTCTTTTCCACTTTTTCCTTTTTCTTCTCTTCTTCCAATTTCTTCGCCTCCTCCCATGCTTTGTACTTTGCCTGTAAGACATGTATGTAGGGGCCTTAGCCCGCTTCTCTGTGTTGAAACCTTAGAGTTACAGCTTGCTGGTATGGGTAGGTTGACGAACGAGGGGGCAGGAATGAGTTGATTTTACAAATCCCTGTATTTTCTGTATGCCCCCTCGTTCTCCTTAGGTTCAATTTTGTGCCAATGGCAACGGCGGACCCAATGCATGTCTGATGCCATCCATCCAGTGGATCAATTAGACTGTCAAGGACAAAGCAAAAGTGTTGTCCTGAGGCAGTTTTTGGGGGGCTTGGAGTGTCACCAGAGTTTCATCTTCCAATGGTCTCAATGCCTGCTCAGGCAGACAACAGATATAGTCCTGGTTATCCACAGGATCCCAAGCTGGGGTTGAAACCAAAGGTAGCTGAAACTCTGCTGCAGGATCCAGGAAGTCCTCGGAGGTACATTCGATCCCCGAGAATTCCAGACCTGTGGTCGAAAAGTCTAGGGCATTAACTGACCACTCACAACTAGTACTAGAGACAAGGGCAGTTGGGGGAGGGCCAGCAAGTTCTTCTTCTGAAACAGAAGCAGTAGGAGCAGGAACAATATGACAACATGTGGAAACAGTGGCTGGAAGAACATCATCACAACATACATTGGACAGAGGAACATCATCATCATCATTACATACAACGGGATAGAGTTTCCTTCATTTCAATTTGTTTCAAACATTAAAAAAGAAAAATCTAAAGTCGCTCATTTTCTAATGAATCCGTGTCGAAATAGATCTATCTAGATCTATATCAAATCATAGAAACTAAAAAATCTAAAGAACTAAGATGCCATCCATAGTCCGTCAAGAAATAACTATTTTTCAAGTCACGCACCATGTAAAAAATATAGTGACGCGGTATCGGGTACACCCCTCCAAAATTGTCCCCCCTACGGGCGCCAATTGTTACAACAAAGAGCAGCAAATGGTTTGTGGCAGTAACTAGACACCTTATAAACTGAATATAAAATGTGAAATGAATCCTGCGGGTACGATTACAGAACCAATAGCTTATTTCCCAAGACGCATTGCGCATCTGCTAGCCGTAATGGCTGAACGCGGTTCTTGCCTTTGGAGATGAAATGGATTATTTCTGCTCACACAGGTGTCTGATTCTGTTCAAAATTGTTGAACTTAAAAACAAAACAATGTTGAACGGAATTGTTTAGCAGACAGCATTCCAGGTTATCGCATTTATTGTCTGGTTTTCCAATTTTAGGCCAAATGCGTGCCAACTGACGGTCTGACGTACGTGACGGTATGCCGTACATAGGCTCTAGATGATGTTAGATTATCAACGTAAAAGAGCTCCGTGTTCACTCTGTCGCAATTAACACTTCGTTAGTTGTCTCAGCGTCACTCTGTCGCAATTAACACTACCAATATATATATATATATATATATCTAGTTCTAGATTCTGTGCCTTTTGTTGTGCTCTGACTGTCTTTTTGTTGTTGTTTTAGTTGGAGTTTTTCTGCATTCACAACTGCATAAGGTCATATGAGCGTGCGGAACACAAGTTAGTTTATTTTCACATTCAGCATTTTCAGTTTCGGAAGAAAATAATTTTGATTTTTGCCAGGGTGGCAGCTGAAACCTACTCTTATTGATTATAATAGGACCATCAAGGGATCACTCACATGCGCAACTTGCACACAGGATCTCTGAGATTTTTTCGCCCTTACCTGAGAAGGCTTATAACTTATAAGTGTTTGATCTTCCTACCCTAAGATCAAGGGTGTGGCTGAAAGACAGCAAGCAGTAAGAAGAAGCCAGGAGTAGCAGTAGAAAGAGTCGGGAGCCCAGAAGAAAGAGTCAGAAGCCGAGAGGAGAGGGGAATGGGGGTGGGAGGGGTGGTGGGCAGAAAGTGGATATGAAAGCAGTTGAAAGAACATGGTTACAGTCATTACAGAGTAGGAAAGGAGGTGAAAAGAGAATATTTTAGAGAAGAAATTTTTTCGTCCTTACTTGTATGTCAGGTTTCAAACCCAGGACCTATGAGTGAGAAGCGACCACCATGCCTCTAGAGCATGAGAGCCATACTCTGGCTCTGTGAGGGATTGTGTTGTCAACTGTTGTTTCTGTCTTACTCTTAGTCATTTGCCTTAACCTCACTCAGGGGGTGGAGGGAGGGTGGAGAATCCGAACGATCTACGCTATAATACTGGAGTGACTTGTGGCTTTCAGATTTGATATATCTAGATTTTCGTAATCGATTTTGAGCATTCAGGGTATCCCTTTTTAGACTACTTTGGACATTTAAGTTGGTGCTATAGGCCTACACAAACTTTCATTTCCTCAAAACTGTCAGATATTTGTGAAGGATTTAATTAGTATCCTTGCAGAAGTTTTGTAAGATATTTAACACCCCCCGGGGCAGTGCCACTGACTGTAGTGTCTTTAGGCCATTCCCAAAGGGAGGACATTTCTCGTTCAAGCACAGTAAAATTGTATATGGGCTGATTCATCATGTCACGTTCATAACTGTGCCTGATCTACAACAGGGAACTGCTGCTTTTTCTTTCCAAATCCTTACTATCTTAATTTTTCCTCTACTTCTTTTGTATGTTTGTCGCTCTCTTGTGAACTGCTATTTCCGGGGTGCCTTGATAGTCGAAGCAGACCTTATGCTGTTGAAGCTAGAGAGGTGAGCGAAGTAAGTCTGATTCCTTGTAAAGACTTCTCTGTTGACACCCACCCCTTGGCGCTCATATGACTGTATGCAGTTGTGGGTGCCGTAAAACCCTCTACTAAAAAAAAAAGAAGAAAAAAAAAGACATTTAACGTTCGGTTGTCATTTGGTTTTATTTTTTATTTTGTTTTCCCCAGATAAGAAGCTGTTTACTCCTGGCCCTCTGGGTGTGACTCTCAGTGTCAAAGAAGCCATGTTAAGAGACGTTGGTTCCAGAGACACAGAGTTCATTGACACTGTTAAGTTCATCCGAACAAAACTCTTGGACATTGCAGGTTTGATTGTGAAATTAAAGTAAAATTAAAAATTACATTAGTTCCCAATGTTGAACTTCTGTTAAATTCGGGAATTCTTGAAAATGAAAAAAATATACCCATTGATGAGACGATCAACTTGTCCACAGATTGTCTTTTATGAAATCTTCAGATTTGTAACTTAAGTTGTAGCCAAGGGGATTGTACATCTGGCTCCTAAATTCTGAGTTAGGAACAGAAATGTGAAAGATCCTTTTGCAAAGATGAGGGAAACTACTGGAGAACATCTCTCGGAAATGTTTCATTTTGATACTTGAATGGCCAGTGATGAAGGTTTTTAATTTACTCTGATTTGGTCACGCAGTAATGTTTAGAAGCAGACAATGAAGATATACTCTGAAAAAGAAGTTAATCCATATATAGACTCAAAAGGCAACGCCAAACACCTGCTGCATGCATGGAAAATGTAGCAAATGTGTTTTTAATTGGGATGTACACTTCTGTAAAGTCGTATTTTTTAAAGGCTGCTTGTTTTACTTTTGTGAAATAACACCTTAACCGTGACTCATTTCCTAAATACCCAAGTAGTTCAATATTCCATTCTTCCTTCTTTTTGTAGCTAAAAATTGACCTGGGCCTTTCGAACAGATAGTTTTATTTTCTTTTTCTTTTTCAGAGTGGGTGTGTGTATAGCAAATCTTTAGCTAGTTTCTGTTTTGAGATGGAATTCAATTTGGATGGTAGATATTATGTATAAAATTGTTTCTTTCAGGTGTTAATAATGGAGAGTTTTCCTGCATCCCTATTCAAGGCAGTGGTACATTTGCCATAGATGCCTCATTTCAAACTTTCCTACCCCGTGAAGGAGCAAAGGTAATATAAGTAATGTGCATATGATTTTTTTATACATGATATAAGTGTATGTTTTATGCAGTGCAAGCAGTTATGTGTTTTCCTACTTTTGGTCTTTGAGGGTATTAAAAATCATGCAGAATAAGGTTTCACCGTGCTGTAAGTAACAAGAGAGATTTTTTGGTGCAGGTTTGGTTTAGTTGAAGGTTTAACTTGATGTTACCCTTACTGATTTTTAGGCTTTACCAACTTAATATTATATAGTGCCTGATTGATGATAGACCCGCATGTTAAAGAAGTATATCTGTCTCGCTAAATTTGAATGGATTTGCTTCTTGGTTTACAGGCATTGGTCTAATGATTTCGATTAACACAGTGTTTCTCTTACAGTTACAAATTATGATAAAAAAAAATTAATTTGCAATTTAATTGTATTGAGATTGTGTGTATAGAATGCAAAATTAGCCTAATCTTGATGTAAATTTGGACCATGTTGAAATAATTAAGTTTGGTGATTAATCTTTTGATTGATTTGGTAGTAAAAGAATGAGATGTTGAAAAACAAATTGCAAACTAGAGGTTTAAAAAAAGATAAGTTTGAATTTACAAAGAATTTTAAGTCACTTGGTTTTTCTTGTCTTATGTTTTAGTTTGAAAGTGGATGGAAAAGTCTTTTTTTAAAAATACCTTTGTTTTGCAAAAATTTATTCACATAGGCTTTGATCATTGAGAACGGCGCTTACGGCAAAAGAATGGCCAAGATTTGCGAATCTGCTGGCATTTCTTGTGATGTTCAGAGCTTCAGAGAAGATCGAAGTGTTGAACCGGAAGTAGTGGAGGATGCCCTGAGTGGACAGACCAAATATGACCTGGTGTCCATTGTCCACTGCGAAACGAGCTCAGGGGTCTTTAACCCAGTTACAGCTGTCGGGAACCTGGTGCGGGAGATCTCACCAGGTATGATGACTCTGTGGATCAGGAACTGTAGGCAAAGAAAAATATTAACAATGTTTGCTTTATCGCACAAGGAAGTAGTAAAGCAGATTTTAAAAATTTTGTTGTGAAAACTTAATCAGGTTTCATCCTCTTGTTGTCAGTTTGGTGTGACCTTTTGAGAATTTTGAACCTTATAAACCCGGGTTCTGTTGATGGCCAAAAGGGTTGGCCGATCTGGCATCACTGTGATATGGGGGCTGAAATTGTTAGCCACTGATTTTTTTGACAATAGCGCTGTAAAGAACAACAGTTACCTTTCCTTGAAGACCAGCTCCGAAACACATCGGTTGATAGAAAGAAATATGAAAAGGGTTTCAATAATGACAATACCCCTTCTATCAGTCTTCGGGTTTGGCAGTAAGTGAGTTAATAGTTATACGCTGTCAAAACGGATCTCTAGAAATTACAGTACAAAAGAGGTCTGCGAAACTGCTGATTTTGGCATGTTAAAAGAGTTGTGGAACAAAACTTCGGCTGGCACTGAAGGTCTACTATCCAGCAAGAATCTCATAACTTAGGATAGACCTGCATGTTTGCCGACAATCGTCTGAAATCCGACAATCGCGACGCGACCCGCGAGGCGGCCGATGCCTACCTGTATCAGTCAATGTGCGTAGTGCGAGGCCTGGCCGACTGCCAGCGTCCCCCTTTTCTCCCGTCGGCTTTGTCGGCACTTTCGTTTTCGTGCCGACCGCCGACGCGCGCACCGCCGACTGCCGACGTCGGCGTTTCCGACATAATTGTCGGAACCTGAGTAGAAATGCGAATACGAAAAAAGACGACGACATAAATTATCTACTTTCAGTTTCGTGCTCGAGCGGCCATTTTGAATTTCGTTTTGTTGACAAATTCAATTGTTTAGATCGTGTGGATTCATTCCAGTCCGACTCACTTAGATATAATAGAATCTAGATCTAGATAGATCTAGATTTATATAGATCATTATAGACCTCAGTGGAGAATTCATATTCCAATTCTATTTTGTCAAACCCTATCAAAGGTTGTGCTGTAATATTAATGTTGGTAAAAGGCATTTCATCAGGTGCGTGAATTATTTATTTATTTAGAATCTAGACTCAGCTGAGCCCCTCTGTTCGGAATCGGATGCGGATTTCTAGTTCAAGGCCTATTCCTAGATCCTATTCACTCGTTCTTCTAGATCTAGATCTAGATTTATTTAGTTTACTAGATCTATATGGAGGATTCTTATTCCAATTCTATTGTGTTATTTGATATCAAACCCTATTATTATTATTGTAGATCTAGCAATATGTAGGTGTAGGCCATTATGCTCCTTGTAAGCCTTGTTTGTTTTGGGGTGTGGTTTTTTAATTTTAAAAATGTTTTTCATTTTGGACTTGTGCTGGCCTTTTCACATGAGGCTCGTTGCAGGTTCTTTTTTGGGGTAGGCCTAGGGGTAGGGGTAGGGTTAGGTCTCTTCTTTGTTGTGTTTGTTGGGGTGGTCGCTCGTTACTCGGAAGTCCTTCCTTATGACACCCACAAAAGCTCTTTTTTTGGGGGGGGGGGGTGCGCAAAATTTTCAGACAATCTGGTTGAGCCTCACATGCAGGTCTATTAGGAGTCAGTGAATGACACTCAACTGTGATTTTCTCTCTTTCCTCAGAAACGGTGTACATGGTTGATGCTATCAGTGCATTTGGGGCCATCCCTCTGGATATAGAGGGAAGCAGTGTGGATGTTATGGTCAGCTCTGCCAACAAGTGCCTTCAGGGTGTACCAGGTTTTGCCTTTGTCATAGCCCGCAATAGTGTCCTAGACAAGTGTAAAGGTAAGCACACACTGACTGTTGCCTTTTGGTTCTTCCTGGTGATAGATATCCTGCTTATGATGGAGTTTTACAATTCACTGATAACGGTATTCATGGCTGCTTTATTCTGATATAACCAATAACTTTGATATATAAGATATCCTTTACAGGTGTTTCAACTGTTTTATGTTAAATACAGTGGTGTCTGTCTAACTGTAACCCCTTTTAGAAGCAGGCCTTTGTTGTTCTTAGGCAGAGGTTTCTGCTGCTAACTGAATTTTCAAAGGGGTAGGGGTAATCTGCAAAAGCCCTCCCCATCCCTTATCTTTCCTCAGATACCACATGCACATACGCATGAGTCCTAATGGCAGGATGTGGTATGTCAGAAAGTGATGACGTAGGCTACATCAATGGCTGAGATTTGAAATGCTCAATCACAGGGTGGTATTGTTACTCACAGAAGCCGAAACTTTTCCCCCCACTCTGTAGACTCTTGAGTAAACTGGGCTCATGTACCGAACATAATGTAATTTTGGCCCTAGAAAGTGTTGTGAGAGGATTAACTAGAGAGAGGGGATGCACACACAATAAAATTATGGGCTAGTCTCGGTGTGCAAACTGTTTTTCAATCGCAAAAAAATGTTGTCAGACAGTTTATAGCAACAAAGATTGCTGTTAGTGGAAAAGGTCCCATAGAAAATTCCAGTACATGATAAACTAATTGTTGCTGTTAGGCGGAGGTTGCTCTTATCAGGGTTGCTGCTAAGTGGACACCACTGACTGATTATTATTGCGAATTAGTCCTTGGTTATTCTTGTAATCATTCTGCAAAAAAGAATTAACTCACTTGAGCCTTAGCTATTTTTCACCCAACAACCGTTTATGCCTGACACCTTTGGAGTATATTGAATCATTAACCACAAAAAGACTATAAAAGCTATCATAATAAAAAAAAATATGCGACAAGAGAAAGACAGAAATGTTCTCAGAGAACAGAAAACTGCATCTAATATGTCAGAATAGTTTTTATTTTATCAACATTTTGTTTGGGGGTTATCCAATTTTGTGTGTGCACCCAATTTGTAATAAAAATCAACTATCGCAATAAGGGGGGAGGGGACTGACTTAGTCCATTACAACTCAAAAAGTATCACACATAACTTCATCGAATTTTTAACAAAATGAAACAAGTAGGTCAACTGTTGGCTCCCCTTTTATCATAGTTTATAACCGAAAAACACTGGAGATATCGATTGATAAAATGCACCCCGAAAACACACGGGATTAGGCCACCGGGCCGGCAGGGCGTCCTGTAAATACACGGGAATAGGCTCAAGTGAGTTAATGCAGTATGATTTTGAGTTCCAGGCTAACAAATGAATAATTCTGCTTTCTCCAATGTGCTCCTGCTCATCCAGTTTTGCAAACTGGGTATCGTATGAAATAGCATATTAAGTGCTACTGCTTGTTTTGTTTTTTTCAAATGGTTTTTCGTCAAAATAATGAAATCGATAAAAGTATTTTTCCGCCTCTTGGGCAATTTTAAAATCTTTTTTTCTTTTTTTGGACTCAACACCTTTTATGTCCTTTTAAAAATCATGTCTGTGTGGATTTTACTGAAAAATATTGTTCTAAGTCACAAGAATGTAAACATGCAGTTTCTAAGGACTCTCAAGCTTTGGAAGTCACCAAAATTTGGTGACCATTTTCTCGCTAATTTCCCTCTACTTCCAGGCAACCCCTATGTTCTTTAAACGCAAATAACTCAAATTTCTATTCAAGATAAGTGGGAGTTTTTTTTCATCAAAAGCAAGACCAAGGAACTAAATTTAAGATGATATCAATAGCTTCATATGCCCAAATATTGAAGAGCACCTGATTCCTCTGGGTCATAACACATATAGTGTATGATTTTATCTTTCAGTTATTCCTCATATATAATTTACGTTGTTTCTCCATTACAGGCAACTCTCGCAGCCTGAGCTTGGACTTGTATGACCAGGTCAAACAGTTGGATCAGACCCATCAATTCAGATTCACACCTGCCACACACTCCATGCTGGCTTTCAGACAAGCACTCCTAGAGTTTGAGCAGGAAGGGGGCGTGACCGGGAGAGCCAATAGGTATTACGATCTAATGTAGTTTGAGCGCTGAAGCTTTGTTTTTAAGTTGAACTCACTCTGTACCACAACTGCTCCTGTTGCTGGTGGAATATATGCTTTTATAGCTCGCTTCTGCCAGACCTGTCGTTCAGGATTTTAGAACTTTTTTCTCAATAAAATACCGTCACAGTTGGGGTAGTGATGGGCGTGAATGAAAGCTCATTCGAAACTATGTACAAACTTACTTTTTCTGTCCTCTTTCACCAGAGGTATCATGGGAAGATGCAAGGATCAGACATGGGCTGTCACAATAAAAGTGTTAAAAAGCTTTTATATGCTTGTGAACTTTATTCCGTCTGTTTTTGTTTGATATGTTTTTCAAAATGACCTTTTTTTTTTACCTGTGAGCAGATTTATGATAGATCTGGGTTCTATTACCTCTCATTTAGAACTGATGTATCACTTAGGTTTTACAGAATTAGACATTGTGGACAACGTCTACATCATTTAAGCTTCAGTAAAGAAAAAAGGGATGTTAACCCTTAGAGAGCTGACTTCTTTCCCCTTATGTTTTCCCTCTGTGCTGAATTTATTTTGGAAAAACGCCAGATTTGCACATATGCTTTTTTTTTGCTAATAACTTTTTTATTTGTCAAAATTTCTAATGAAGGTAAGAATAAAAGTTTTAGAAAATTTAGAAAGTTCTTTATAAATATGTGAAGCAAAAAGTATTTTGTGAAGTTATTGTTGTAGTAGTGGTGTTGGAAATGACTGATTAAAAACTGTCGGTTCATTAGATCTCTAGATCTAGACCAGAGTCTAGATACTGCGTAGGCCTGCGTTATATTCCACAAAGTGTTAGCTCTATCATCAAAACCCTCGAAATTATCTTCCGGTTCAAAGAAAATGCGCGGAACATCTTCGTCTGAATCTGATGCGACACATGTTCGTCGCGGGTCACAATCTTGAATTTTCCAACTTCACTGTCACTTGATTTCAATGTGAAACAAAAAACATCCTCGCGCCTCGATCGAACCCCATGACAAGAAAAGTGGCGGGCGAAATCAATTTTGCGTAGCCTACCAGCCAGCAGTATAAAAATTAGTACTTCGTTCTTTTCGTACATTGCGTTATACTATGCCAATGTTTATCGTGACCGGCGGTCACGATCAGCACTTTACGGAAGTTTGGGCCGTCGTGACCGGTCGCGATCAGCGCTCTAAGGGTTAAAAATTCATGCAATGATTTTTTCCAAGCAAACATGTACACTAATGAATAATATCTCTCTTCGCACTTGAACTTGACTAGGATGATGATAACTACTTTCTGTGTCTGCCAGGTACAAGGAAAACAGAGAGATCCTGAGGAACGGCATGACTGCGCTGGGCTTCCAGGAACTCCTGGCTGAAAACATTGCTGGCTACATCATCACCTCCTACATGTACCCTAAGGACCCAAACTTTGATTTCAAGGAGTTCTACAACAGGCTGAATGAAAAAAGTAAGGAATTCCCTGAAACATTTTTGTTATTTATTGTTTTAATCTCAGTGAATTTACAAGAAACTTTGAATAAGGAGAAGTTAAGAGACAGATAAAGGCAGTATGTTATTTTTGTTGTTCTTTCTTCTTCTTGATCGCATCACACTTGAAGTCTGGTATCTGTCATAAATTGGGCTGTCCTGCTCAGTTCATCTGTCAGCCCGTATAGCTTCTCTTGTAGCGTCAGTGGGGTTGGCCACGTTTCCTGTCTCAGGGCCCTGTGTGTCTTGCAGTGTTGAAGGATGTGTTCAACAGTTTGGTCCGCCTCTCCACACTGGCATTTTTGTGATTGTACTAGTTTAAAACATTTGTACATATGTTGTCTCAGTCTTGTGTGTTGTGTCCTTAGTCGGAAGATAATTTATTTTTGTTCTAATTATATGATTCGCCCCAGTGTTTGCCAACCTGTGGCAATTTTGATGGGCACTGGGGATCCTCTGGGTAGTGACAGGTATTATTTAATATCCTGTTTAGAAATACATGTAGATGGGCAGTATGGAAATTTTAGCCTCTTGGAGGTGGCAAAAGTGGGTATTGTCTATGAAAAGGTTGACAAGCACTGATTCAGCATTTAGAAAATATTTGAGAGATTCTTAAAAAACTCAAGCTGCCATTTTTAAATGTTGTTTACTTAAAGCATTCTTTATCCAGTTGGACTCTAGTGACATAAAGGGCAAGGAAACAGTTTTTGATTTCATGAACTGAGCGCAAATGCAGTTCAGGACATGTTCTGTTCTTCCGTTTCAGATTTGGTGATCTACCCTGGCAAAGTTCTAGATGCGGATTGCTTTAGAATTGGGAGCATTGGTGATCTACATAAAGAGGACATGACTACGCTGCTTGCAGCCATAAAGGAAGTGTGTGCAGATATGAACATTTCTGTCCCAGTACAGAACTGACCAAGTCCCGTGACGATAGTCTAAGCATGTTCTTATTTATAAAATTGGATAAGTTTTGTTTGCACTGCGCAATTTTTTCAACTATATATAACATCTTGCTTTGTGTGTATGTGTTCTGTACACCGCACAATATTTTGTGCTGAGACTGAAAGAGTCTTCTTATCTATGAATGAAGAAGATATTACTTCTTTTTAGTTTAAGGAGCCTGCCTGGTTTTATGTGACAGGTTCTATATATAAATATATTTAAGCATTTTTCTCTGCCTTTTCTTTAATAGATTGCACTGATTTTTCTGTTGATTTGAATGTAACCCTGTTGTGAGCTGAGCCTCATTTGCCTAAATTTCTCAGTATTGTCTTGTGTGTCATATAATGGGTGGCTGGTTTGCTGGCCCCTGTCGTCTAGTGTATTCTCCACATCGACTTCCTCTCTTCTCGCCGCTTATCAGTAGAGTTAAAAAATCAGAGATCATAAATCAAACCTCCACTTTGTTTTACATTGTAACTTTTCATATTATCTTGAATACCGATTATTTTTATCTTCTGTTGATTGGAATATTTTGCTCAATTGCTACTTTACGGGGGTCTTGCTTTCTGTGAGGTGTTTTTTTTCAATGTGTATCTTCATGTGTTAAGTGTATTGTGGTTAAGACGCGGAAGTGTATTTTCAATATTTGATGTCAATGAAATTTGCTCATCAAAGTTTCATCCTTGAGTTGTTATTTGAGTATAGTTGATCACATTTTTACATGGCATTATGTGCCTAATTCAATCGACATTGCCTTAACTTATGCTTCGCTACTTCTCTAAAAAATGGATATATATGTTTACATGAAGACCGACCTGATTGGAATATTTGCATATAAACTGTATTGACCTATTTTATTAAATTAGTGGTTAATTTATGAAATACAAAAACACGCGTGGGATACTCTTGACATACATGTTGTACTAAACTGATGGTAATTTCATGCAAAAACCAAAACATGTTTGGGGTCTGATTCAGAGACTAGCCCAAACCGAGAGCCAGTGGTGAGCTTTGCTACTGACCTACATACCACGATCATTTTGTGCATGTGAGGAATTTGCAATCTGAACTACAAAATGCTTCTGTTTTAGGCTTTTTGTGGGCAGGATGTGGGTATTTGGATATTTCCCCTGTTCTGATTTTTTTTTATAGTTTGGCTAAGATTGCAGAAATTTTCAAAAGTTATTACATGGTCTTGAGGTTACTGAAGATATAAATTCAGTCTGGGTGTAGTTTTATTTTTTAAATTGTTTGTTCAACTTCAGCTTTAGTGTAAACATGTTCAGATTATTGAAAATTGTATGAATTATCAGTCAGAATTTCTCATCTGTGATGTTTTGTTTTGCAATTCATGTTATATCATGAAGCTTTGTATTATACCGTAAGCTTGTTAATAGCTTGTTGCTTGATAGACTATTGGGATTTCAGCTTATTTTTTATTTATTTTTTTTCCCAAATTTATTCTTATGTCATAAACTGATGTATTGCATATTGCCAAAGCAGGGTTCACTTGGTTTTTCATCTATATATATGTCCTTTACTTTGTAGTGTTCATTGACTCTCCCAATGTTGTGCAGTTTGCAGATCAGAGATTCATAATCCACTGAGTTGCTGTAGTCCTTAACCGAGAGTTCTGAAGTGACCTGACTTGTCACAATGTTCTGGCGGTAGGGAGCAGCTTCTTATCTGTGTGTTGAAGAAGCGACTCCCGGTTCTGATTGGTTTTCAGCAAAATGTGCGCTATCTGGTTGCTGATTGGAAGTAAAGTGAGTTTCCCGTTATTTATAAGATTGCAGTTGTTGACAGCTTAGGACAGCAAATGACCGACACCAATGCATCATAACCTTTTCAATGTTCTTCTATCCTAAGAGATAATGTCAATATTCTATTTACTCTTGACTACAGACTAATTTTTGGTAATATACATATCGCCTGTACGTCCTGTTTCATTCTCCACGAGATAACTTCCTCCACTTGTGGATGATCCATTTGCCCAGTCAAAAGGCACATGCCTACTCCACACAAGCATTGCGTCTCCTCTTTATGACTGTGTGACTGATAGTGACATAACATAACCAAGTTAGTCCAGGCTGCAGCATACATGTATGCATATTGAACCAGTGCTCTTCATGTCTGACTTTTAGTGTGGATTGTTGCCTTGCAAGAAGAAAATTGAATATGGATTGATTATGACTACCTCAAGAGTTATAATTTAAGTTTGGTATACCCAGAACTTCCCCCAATGTGTCCTTTGTGTGACTATGCAAATGAGGCAGTGGAACATCATCGTTTACACTGTACAGCTCTAAATGACATCAGAGCTACACTTCTCCCTCCGAGACCTACCTTTGACAACACACTCTACGGAACATTACAGAAACTGCAGCAAACCTGCACTTATCACTACATTGCATTGGACAGAAGGGCGAGAGCCCAGATGTTGCTGGATCGATAACAACAACAACGAGTGTGGTATACCATATCTTGAATGTCACAGAAAATTCAGAGACAATCAAGAGTGGGAAGGGGGATGGGATTTCTTATTTACTTTTTCTTCTTGAGACATGTAGGTAATTAACAAAATTTGTTTCAAAGACGAGTCCATTGATTATGGAATTGTAACATAATTTGGCAAAGTTGCCACTTCCAAATGAAATCAAGGCGTTTTAAGAATACTCTTGTGAAATTTTTAAAAGTATATATTTCATGTTATAATATATAAACATTCGTTTAAGTTTTTCTAAAGCCGCTGAAGAAAATCAGTATTTAACATTAATTCAGTTTTTGAACTTGTAAAGTTCAAGGAGAACAGTGGTTGGCTCAGACAGGTGCACGTCTTTGACTGTGTCAGTGTCATTATATATATTTTTTTAAAAGAACGCATGAGGGAGAAATTGAAAGCGGTCGTTTGTACAGGTGCTTGTCTTGGACAGATGTCACTAGAGTAGGTTTGATTTTATTTCCAATCCTGAAAGACTTCTTGTGTCCTAAATTGTGGAAGATTATGTAAGGAGAAATTTGCAGCCCCAAATTTCTAAAGTTGTGGTTTTTAGTCGTTCTACACCTAAACCTGTCTCATCCCCCAAGCTCTTCTTCAAGCTTTGTTAAGGAATGCTTGACCTAAAAAGTAGCATTCTCTATGAAATAAAACATCAGTCTGCTTAGCAGTATTTGTCATTTGATCCCCAGGGATGTTCACTATGCCAGTGTTCAGTGGTTTAGTTCATAATTTGAGTTTGAATATTCCATTCTTTTCTTCTTAACGTTTGAAAGATTGCATGAAATCTTGATTTCTACCCGGTAAAAATCTGTCCCAAATGTCTTGAGTACTGCATTGTTGTTGCCTCCCATCCTCCCGTTACTTCTGCCTCGTCTAATGAAAGTTTTTATACCTAATCGCATATTAGTTATATTTAGATTTATAAAAAAGCAGCCAAAAAATGACTTTGTTTCTTACAAGATGGCGTATCTGATGAATGAAATGTCCTCAGGATGATTTTCCTGTTCGTCTATTGCAGTAAACTTTTACTTCCCGGTTGGGTTTTTTTTCATCTGTTAAGCCAACAGGATTGCCCCAGCTTGTTAAAACTTTCCCTATCAGTTGTCCTTTGGTGAATGTTCGAAATTATATGCATGACATTTTTAATACAGTAATCTTATCACATGAATGTTACATCTTCAACTTTCATAAGTCATTTATCAAGGAAAGGGTTGGGTATGTTCTTGTCAGTTGTCATAAACGACTCACTGAGAGGGATTTGGAATCACAAACCCAGTGCTTTATCCGACGGTGCTGATTACTTTGTTGTTGAATTGAGATTTTCTTCCATGGTTACTACATGTAAAAATGTTAACTTTCCATTTCTCAGCTGAGAGGCTAATTGTTCTTGTGTCAATGACCAATATTGATTTCTTTATATGCATTAATAGTCAGTCAGGAAGAAAAAAAGGAAAACATTGACCAAAAGAAGCAATAATAAAATAATAATAATAATAGATAGCATTTGTATAGCGCATATCCCCGCTCAACAGCAGGCTCTATGCGCTTTACACTATATTAGGCTCTGGGCCAATTTTAAGGTCTATACTATGAGGTTTCTGTGTCTCTTCTCCACACATCTCCCCTCACCCCGTTCCGACTCATATCAAACATCTATCGTCGGTACTGTCCTTTGGCAATTATATGACCTATTTGTGTTTCCAGTGTTGTAAAACTCTTACCCTAATTTGAAAAAAAAAGAGAAAGAAAAACCCTTCGGGCTGTTTTTGTTATAAATACATGTAATTATATTCAGTGTTAATTCATGTGACTTGTTCATACATCCACAACAATAAGACAAACACTGTCCATCTCCTCTCATGTTATACTCTCAAACAGACATAACTTTGTACACATACTATACACTTTTACGAGGGATTTGCTAGAAGTCTTTTTAATACATCTGTTGTTTGTTTCATATATTCTATCTCAAATATTTTTTTGTGGACATGGAAACTTACTGTGGTTTCAGAAGATGTAATCAGCCATATTTTTTACATTGTTACTGTATTCATATTTATTTTTACGAATTAAAAGTAAAGACAACACACATGTTCTCTGTTTGTGTCCTTCCTTGTAAAATTTCTTTAGCTCAGTGCGTACCAGCATCTGTGATGTAAGCGGTTTTATGTTGTTAGGCACTTCACTGTAGGGCACAGGAGATGTGAGTTTGATTTTCGAGTGGGGAGAAGATTAAATATTTTGATCTTTCTGCTGGAATGTTGTAGATTCTATTTCTCACAACCTAGGCTGGCCCTGACAGGCAGGGTCGGAAGCCTGTCTCCTACATGATCTAAATTTTGTCGATCTGGGTAGCTTATGTTTCAGTGATAACATCGTCAGCAAGCTGTTCAACTGTTTGAAGCACAGGAAACATTTTTTTCCTTTGGAGAGGGAAAAAGCAGTTCCATTGTAATCACTATGTCTTTAGAATAAATAATAATACATTACATTTGATTGATCCCCATGAGAAATTTATTTTACAATGGTGTACAATGTACATAAACACATACGTGGATTATATATGAATTGAATGCATGAATAAACACAATGACATAAACATGACGCTATTATTTTACTCATGGACCCGTCTTACATTCAGATATTCTTAAGCACTTTTCTTGTTCACTTTTATATGCCTTACTCGGATTTTGATTATTAGTTTATTATGAGAATTATGGATATTTTTATACGATTTAAGTTACAAAAGGACCAATTGCACAGTAATTTTGACTTGTTTTTAACAACATGGTGGGTTTCAGGGGGCCATGCCCTCCTGATAAAAAAAATAATAATTTGATGTTTTGCAATAAGGAATGATATTTTCTCGAAAACAATTATCATTTGCGAAGGTTTTAGTGGCTATAAACAGTGCATCTGCGTGCAGGGCAGGTCTAATAGTAAAAATTTACCAGACTGAAATTTCAAACACCATTGCACCAACGTCTGTTGTAGCGGGTAAGGCACTTTGCTGTTGCACGTGGGAGACCCGAGTTTGAATCCCGAGTGGGGAGGACTTTTATCCGAGTATGTCGGTCTTTCTGCTATGTTGTGTCCCTTTCCGCCCGGGTTAGCCCTGACAGGCAGCATCAGAAGCTCGCTTCATTAATGATAACGTAAATTGTGTCAACGGGGGCGGTTAAACACCGACATTAACCCTATCCGTAGGTCGTGTTTTACTATCGAAGCCCCATACGACGTTGGGAACTGTGCGCCACCACTTTCCAAAGAGGAAATTTACTCGTTAATCCGATCCGTGCAGGGCAGTGCCACTGACTGGTGTCTTTAGGCCATTCCCACAGTAGAATCGTAAATGAGCTGATTCATCAATGTCACGCTCATAATTGTGCCTGATGTACAACAGGGAACTGCTGCTTTTTCTTTCCTAATCACTAAAACGATGCGTGCGCTTTGCATAGCAGTCTGTCAAAATGATTTTTTGCAGAATTACTGAAAGTTTCAAAGAGATCTTTCTACTAGAAGTATTCTAAAATGTGAAAAATACAGCCCCGGGGGTATAAAATGACCCCAGGGCGTACAGATAGGGTTAAACAACAACAGCAACAAAAAAGCCCCCCCCCCCAAAAAAAAAGAGAAAAAAAACAACAAAAAAACAAAAAACAAAACAACCACGCCCACAAAACAACAAACAAACAAAAAACCACAACTGCTGGTCGCCACTGTGCAGCGCTCTGGGTTTTTTTTTTTTTAAAGCCTGGGCTATTGCGTGTTGCTGAGTTGCTGAAGAACACGCACAAGTGACAACGCACTTGACCTGAACGCCATGTCACTGACACACGCTTCACATGGTGAGCCTGGGCTGAAGACCGAAACATGAGAGCGGACGCTCACATTTTTTAAAAGGGAAATCGGAAGCAATGGTTCAACTCTCGAGTATTTTATACGGTACATGTACAATATTTATTGTACTGATCGAAACGTGAAGTTTTATAAATTTTG